TAAAACTCGTCTGGATGCGGGGAAAGTGAGTGAATAGCTAAGAAACTTTTGGAAAAATAAGAACAATGAGGAGGGGTGTGTTCTCTCTCACTAGACAGCAAACTATACCTTAAAGCTATAATAATTAAAACAATGTGGCACAGGAATTGGCAAATAGACCAGTGGAACAGAATAGGGAATCCCAAATAGACCCATCTATGTCAGGAAATTTGGTGTATGGAAAGGAAACATTTCAAAACTGGAGGATAAACGACAGTCTGTTTAGTGAGTTTTATTGAAATAATTAGCTAAAACTTTATAGAGAAGTGTAAAGTTCTATCCTACCTTAAAATAAATAAATTCCAGATGGGATAAAGAAGAGCTCAACATAAAAGTGAAATCTATGAAAGTGTTAGAAGAAAATAGGAGACTATTATTATTATCTAGGCTGGGGAAGCCTTCTTCAGTAAGACTATAAATGCAGGAAGTCATAAAAGAGAAGAAGATCCACCAGATTTCTGCATGAGAATACACCAAAGATGAAAGTTGAAGGTCATGTTATGGGAATGGTTTGGGGGTGATATGAAGGAGTGACTTTCACATTTTAGTCAATATTCTTCTCCACCGTATGAGTTTTTTCAAGAATGTATTCTCAAATCGCATAATTTTCTCAATGTGCTTTCCACAGCATGAGGACCATGGTGAACAGGCATATAAATTATAGCAGCTATTACTATTTTTAAACCCCTTTCCTCACTTACAGTGATTCACGTTTAGAAAATGTGGCTCCATGTCTAAGTGTATTTTTGTAACATTCTCTTATGTTTTGAAAACCATTGCCTTGTTGTTGATACTCTGAATGCATTTTCGACCACTCCTCATCACTGCTGAATGCAGAGGGTAAAGGATTCAATTCTGTTATTAAATGCATTGTGACTTTTGGCTTACAGTGAGCCAAGGAATACATTCCACTCTGGGGGGGGATGTGAGGGAGGCAGGGACAAGAGGTTGAAAAAGGGCCATAAGCCTGATTTAAGGTGGACACGGTCTTTTTGATCGACCTGACATACACTCAAAAACCATTAAGGAGCGGTTTGTAAAAGTTTGGTCAAGTGCCAAGTTGAGTGTAATGTCTGAGGGCCAGGCACTGGAGGATGCCCAAGACCTGTGCCCTGTGGAACTTCCATAGAGGACCCGCCTTTGCAGGGGTCCAGAAGGGGTGGAGCAAGGAGCCCAACGGTGGTAGACAGACATTTCTACTTCTTCTACAGAAACTTCCCCTGTCCTCCTGCTTCTTTGAAATAGGCCTCTTTCTAGCTGAGCCCATGCTCTGAGCTTAGGGTGATTCATATGCAAATCTAGATGTTCTAGAATGCCAAGTGAGAAAGTTGTCTTACTTGGGAGGTAGACAGCCTCCCCTGGGGCTGCAGGGGAATTGACATTCCCTGAGCATGTGGGCCAGAGCCCAGGGGCTGGGATTCAGTTTCTCAGCATTTTCATCTTCACCGTGTGGGTCTTCATGCCTTCCCTTCGCCAGTTTGGATTTTTGTATGTAGTGGTTGACTTCTCTCCATATGTAGCCCAGCAGGCTTGGATGTAGTCGCTGTGAACATTTTTCAAGTACTGAAATTGTATGCCTCATGCTTTACATCTAAATATCATATAATTCTCATAGCAACCCATTTCAGATGAGGAAGCTGAGGCAAAAAAGAAAAAAAAAGAACATCATTTGCTTTAAGGTCACACAACTGGTAAGTGACAGAACCTGGATTCAAACCTGGGTCAGCAGGATCTAAAGCCTGCCTTCTGTCCAATAGGCTGCTAGGTCTGACTCAGCCTGTTCTCCAGTGAACATCACACCCTTCCTGTGGCACGGGGAGAATTCTGGAAGGTCTTCCTGGCCAGAGTCCAGCTAGTTCCTAAAGCAGCAGCTGTACCATGTCTTGTCCGTCTCTCCACAGCGAGGAAGGAGCTCTGGAGCAGGAGTCTGGATGGGCTCCGCGAGGCTCCTTCACCTCTATTCCTAAATTGTATCGCTTATAGCCTGGTGACAAGCACGTCTTCCTTACTCACCTAACAAGTCTGTAGTGGCCAGATAGTGATGATACTGCTACTAGTGGCTTCCATAGAATAGGGTTTATAGTGTAAGTATGAAGACTTATACCAAAGTAAGGTAGTACTAATGTAATCCCAGCAGTTCTGACTGGTCTTTATCCCTCGACTGATACGCTTTGCCTAATGCTAGTCTCTTGACCTTTCCTCCTACTCTCCTCTATGTATGAGGCTGTGAGTAGCAAATCCAAACCTAATTGTAGAAGGAAGAGAAAATAGCCTTGTTAGATGAAGGCACCCCTTAGAAAGGAAGGCATGTCTTAGGAGGACACTCCTCCCTTCACAAGAACTTTTAGGTGAGCTCTGAACAATGCCCATGACTAAAGTCGTTAATTCTGTTATGTAACATGTCTGTCGATGCTTGGATGACAAGATGGCGGTCCGTTTCTAATGCTCTAGGAAAAGGAAGGAGCTACTTCCAAGTTAGAGCCTGCGCTCTGATAACCTGTCAGATGCTGCAGGAGAAAGGACAAAGAGGAAATGGAGTCCATCCCAAAGTTTAGGATCCTTTAGAAACCTGTGTGAAGCATGGATAATACATGGTGACGTCTTTATTGGGTCTGTTTAGTGACGAGAGAGGCTGAAAGGACAGCACAGCTAATGCCCGTTGGCTCTGACCCAGGAGGAAATCGCTGAATTCACTGTGGTACACTGAAGCTCGCTGTACCACGAGATCCTGCCCTTGGCCAGGAGGTCGCACGACACAAACCTGCGACTGGGAAGTTACCAAGAGTTGGCAAAGGCATTCCTGACGTTCATGTTGTTAAAGGTGTTCATGGAGTCAGCTTCAAATGTATTGCTGAAAATCAGAAAAGAAAATAATTTTTTTATACTATTGAGGTCATAATAGTTTATAACATTGTGAAATTTCAGTTGTACCTTATTGTCAGTTGCCATGTATCTGTGCCCCTTTACCCTTTATGTCCACTCCTGAACCTCCTTTCCCTCTGGTAACCACTAATCTGTTCTCTTTGTCCATGTGTTTGTTTATCTTCTACAAATGAGTGAAATCATCCAGTGTTTGTCTTTCTCTGTCTGGTTTATCTCACTTAAAATCAGACCCTCAAGGTCCATCCATGTTGTTACGAATGGGACAATTTTGTCTTTTTTATGGCTGAGTAGTATTCCGTTATATATATGTGTGTGTGTGTATATATATATGTATACACACACATACACATACACACACGCACGAACACACACACACCCAAGATCTTCTTTATCCATTTATCAGTCTATGGCAGTTGGGTTGCTTCCATGTCTTGGCTATTGTGAATAATGCTGCTATGAACATAGGGGTGCATGAGTCCTTTTTTTTTTTTCTTGAGGAAGATTAGGCTTGAGCTAACTAGTGCCAATCCTCCTCTTTTTTCAGAGGAAGACTGGCCCTGAGCTAACATCCATGCCCATCTTCCTCTACTTTATATGTGGGATGCCTACTACAGCATGGCATTTGCTAAGCGGTGCCATGTCTGCACCCGGGATCCGAACCGGCAGACTCAGAGCCGTCGAGAAGCGGAATGTGCGCACTTAACCGCTGTGCCACTGAGCCCGCCCCTCACATGGTATTTCTATTCTTAATTTTTTGAGGAATCTCCATACTATTTTCCATAGTGACTGCACTAGTTTGCATTCCCACCAGCAGTGTACGAGGGTTCCCTTTTCTCCACATCCTGTCCAGTATTTGTTATTTTTTTGTCTTGGTAATTATAGCCATTCTAACGCGTATAAGGTGATATCTCAGTGTAGTTTTGATTTGCATTTCCCTAATGATTAGTGATGTTGAACATCTTTTCATGAGAAAATAAAACAAGTTTTTGAACATTTTCCCTCTGAAATGGTTTGAGAATCTTGAAGCAGGTACTGAACGGGAAGCGGTTGTTGTTCTTAAGATTCAGATACCCAGTTCATCTCACAGAAGATCAGCTCCAGCTGCCATAGTGGTTTTGCCCATTATATGGTGCTAAATCGTTTCCCCTGCTTGGTAATATCCTTGTTTGCCGTGCCTTTAATGAGTCATGGAAGACAAGAAGCAGAGGGGACACTGGTGATTCAAATTAGCTAGGAACATAACAGTGATGATTCTCCCCAAGATGATCTTCACTAGATCTTTAAGTTACATTCATCTGATCAAAATTCATACATAACAGCTGTCTTTCGTTCTATCCAATCTAGCTGCTATTTATTGGAATAAAGACTATTCACCCCTGCAATGTATTGTTTGAGGAGAAGTGATTACAAGTTACAGCTGGAAATCTGTCATCTTGTCATCTAGATAGCAAACATCATAATTTTAAAAACCAAGACATTTTATACAATTCAAAGCAAAATTCTAAACATCCAAGAATTAAAATGGCAGGATTTTTTTCTATTCTTGATACCATAGGTATCACATGGGTAATTTTTCTCTATGTAAGTACCGCAAATTCGATGGCTTAAAACAGTAGAAACTTAGTTTCTCACGGGTCTTGGGGTCCTGAGGGAGAAGGCGTCCCCTGCCTCTCTCTCAGCTTCCAGTCGCTATCGGTAATCCTGGCATTTCTTGGCGTGTAGCCGTGTCACTCCAGTCTCTACCTCCATCTGTACCTCATCGCCTTCTCTGTGTCTCTGTAAGTTCTTTTCTGTCTCTAACAAGGACACTCTCATTGGATTTAGGGTCCAGCCTGAACCAATATGATCTCATCTCACTCCTTAAGTAATGTCCGCGAAGACCTGATTTCCGAATAAGGTCACATTCTAAGGTTCTAGGTGGACATGAATTTTTGGAGGGACGCTGTTCAACCCAGAGGCTTTCCACTATTGCATCTCCAGTCTGAGGCAGATTAGAATTCATAGTCAAACTCTTGGCCAGGGCCTCAGACATGGTCTTAACCTCTATCTGGACCCTCCCTCCTCTCCCTTCCATCCAGACCCTGCGCCTCCACCTCCTCCCAGCCTAGCTAACGTCTGCTGGACTCAGATCCCTGGAGCTTCCTGAGGAAAAGCTTGCCTGTCAACATCCACCCCCAAAGGCGGCCAGTCTCTCTTAGAAGCTTCTGAAGTAAGCTGTGCTTCTGTTGGAACATTCTTCGTAGAATTAATACCATTTTAAAATTCATAGAATATAAACTCATATTATGTATTTTTTATTTTATATATTAATATTTTTATTTTATTAAATATTTACCTAATAGCTAGTAAATTTTACTTAGTATTTATCATTTTGTATATAATTTCATTTCAGTAAAATAGTTTATATCATTCATGATGTAACTGACACATTAATTTTTAAAATTAATTAGAGGCTAACTATGAAATCTATGAGGTCAGGGGTCAGCTGCGTTATTCACTGCTTTGTCAGCACTGAGCCCAATGCCAGCCCTTAATTTTTGAACTGTATTCTCTTTATATCATCTCCTAATTTTCAGAGAAAGTCTGCTCCTGGGCACGGCCTGACTCCCTCTGGGTCTGGTGTTGAATGCCTCACCGGGCCCTCCCCCTTTGGGCGTGGGGGCCGGGAGGTGCCTGTGTGTTTTCTGTCTTCAGCCTCCACCGTGGGAGCTGGGAGGATCTGTGCTGGATTCCGTGTTGTCTGAGGGGATGTCTTCGTGTTGTCTTGAAATCTGAGGCGTTTAGAATACGGCTTCGTTAATTGATCCTATTGGGACTTAAGAATGAAATCTGAAAACTCATTTGTTCTTTCTCAGTTGCTTGTTTTTTCCTTTTTTCCTTCTATCTCTCATCTCTGCCCCAGAGAGAAAGAGAACTGGGACATCGAAACTTCAAAAACAGACATTTTCTTCTCTGTAGACTCTTCCATCTGGAATGTCAACCATTTGAGAGGATCCATGAGAGCCCTCTTTGGACTTAGTCACATATTTGTTTATAGTTTTTGAGGACGTTTCCTATGAAACTGGTCTTTATAAACTTTGTGCCTGATAATTTAAAGAAGTCTGCTTTTCAGTTCTTTAAGAAGCAGCAATATGGAAATTTTCCACAGATCTGCCTTGTCAAACTGAACTTTTCTTTCCTGTAAGTCATATCTGGGACCATCTCCTTTTCCTCAAAGCCAAAGTACTGGAAGCTGGCCCTTTTGAGCACAAGTGGTGCCAATATGTAAATCCTTTGAGGAAGCTGGACGGGGAGGGTAAATAAATAAATCGCATTTTGATACTCTCAGGCCATAAGAGCTAATTTTAAACGATTGCAGCAAGTTTCCTTAGGAGGAAATCTCTGAAGAGAACTCAGGATGCAAAGTGTTAACAAGAACAAAAAAATTCCCTAGTTACTGAGCGTTGCTCTGTTCTTGACAATACCGTGTCGGGTCTTACAGCCCACAGCGAGCCCTGTAAGTATCTGGTGAACTGGGTCCCCTGACCCCTGAGCCAGGATTGCTGCCATCCTCATAAAGCTCCCATCGGTGTGAACAATGGGTGTGGTCTGCTCGCCAGTGTGGGGAGCTAGAACAAGATGCCCCTTTATCTGTGAGAAATATTTGAGTCTAAATAGAACAATGGAAAATTCTCGTGTGTTTTTTTTTTCCCCAGGGATTTGAGAAGGTCCTCTGGTCAATACTTTTGTTTCTCCTCCCTTCCAGATTGCACTCTTCCTGGTGTGCAGTTCAAGAAATAACTTTTTAGGGTGTTTGTTTTTCTAGGCAGCCCATGGCTCTGATCTTGTTTTTGGATGTTTTCCGTTTGCTCCAAGTAGGCGGGTTCCAAGGGCAGTGTGCACCGTCTGCCAGCTATTTCCTGTTGAGAACACTTGGTAATGAAGGGAGTTCCTAATATTCTAAAACATGCTTGTGACTCAAATACCCACACTTGCTTGCACCTCGTACAAAAGCAGAGGAGCTGGCTGTTCGTGCTGGGAGTGTTTTCCCCCAGAGTTGAATTCGTTTGTCTGTAAAGACCTTCTCTAGACATTTGAAAAACTATCATAGGGGCCGGCCCAGTGGCCAAGTGGTTAAGTTCGCATGTTCCGCTTTGGCAGCCCCAGGGTTCGCCAGTTCTGATCCCAGGTGCGGACCTATGCACTGCTTATCAAGCCACGCTGTGGCAGACGTCCCATATAAAATAGAGGAAGATGGGCACAAATGTTAGCTTAGAGCCAGTCTTCCTCAGCAAAAAGAGGAGGATTGGCAGCAGATGTTAGCTCAGGGCTAATCTTCCTGGAAAAAAAAAAACTATCATAATGTTCTACTATCTAAAGGCATTATAGTATGTTGACACATTTAATATTAAAACAATGGGGCTTTTGAAACTCCTGCCTCAGATAAGTGAAAGAGGCCCTTATAAAGGAGGCAGCTGAACCAGAATGGAGGGTTGTTGTCCACAGATTGGTGATAAATGGAGAAAGGTAGGTCAGAGAGGAGTGGATGCTGGGACAGGCAGTGTCTCTGCTTGTACACACGTGCATCTGATTTATTCGTGGCAGTTGCTTGTATCAGTGTGAGCAAGCCACATATTTTACAAAATATTCAGAGGTCAGTCGATCTCACAGCTTGATTAGAATGGACAGCCTCCCAGACTCCACCCTGAGTCATGGGGCAATTCTAGGACCTCTGGGATTGTCCTCAGAGTTCAGGTCAGGCCAGAAAGCTTGCAATTGCTCTGGGAGCTGGGAGCCGGGAGCTGACCCTGGCCAGATGGACATGGAAGCCAAACAACTGGCCACTGTTGGTCTGTGTTTTGAAAGACATCTGTGGGGCCAGCCCAGTGGCACAGCAGTTAAGTTCACACATTCCTCTCAAGGGGCCCAGGGTTCGCCGGTTCAGATCCCGGGTACAGACCTACGCACCGCATGTCAAGCCATGCTGTGGCAGGTGTCCCACATATAAAGTAGAGGAAGATAGGCATGGATGTTAGCTCAGGGCCAATCTTCCTCAGCAGAAAGAGGAAAATTGGCGACATATGTTAGCTCAGGGCTAGTCTTCCTCAACAACAAAAAAAGAGGGAAAAACATCTGTCTCGTCTCTATCTGGCAGAGAATATGGCCTGCACTTGGACATACTCTGCTGATTGCCTGCACCAACCTGATCCCCTACAACACACACACATACCCCCATCTTTCTCGGCAGAATGACTGAGTTCCATGAGACCCACAAAATGCCTCCCTGCCTCGGGGCCAACGAGGCCTCCGTGTCTAAGGCACATTTGTACCACCTTTTCAGATCTTTAGTTTTGAAATCGATTTCTGACTCTCTGTCCCTGTGACTCTGCCCCTGTGAACTTGATTCTTCCAGAGACTCATTTTCTCTGACTTGCCCGTGGTTCTCTTTGCCCCATTCTGACCGCAGAATCAGCTTTGACCCCTCCCCTCTGTCAGTTCACCTTCCAGGGATTCCATCCAGGTCGGTAGCCACAGACAAGTTAAATGGGTTGACCTGTGATTACCTAGTGAATTTCTGAAAGGGAAAAGAACTAATATTTATTGGCATTTCCTATGTGCCAGGCAGGAAACTGGCCGGCTTCGGCATTATCCCCTTATCCCTCCCAACAACCCCATAGGTAGACAAGACTGAAGGATTGATTAGTCTTTGAGGTTAAGTGTCCTGCCCAAGAGCCCAAGTGGCAGTGCTGATGCCTCAACCAAGCATAATTTTGCTCCAAATTGTTGCCATTCGGATGAATTTTGGTGAAGCTCTTTAGGTATTGAGTAAAGAGAGTCCCAACCCAAAGGAACCCTTTCCTGTTGGTTTTTTCTGCTACCAGCCAACAAATTTGAAGGAAATCTTTGTGAATACCATTCATCCAACTTGACTTCTCAAGAATGCTCTGCTGGCTGCTTCTGTACCCAGATTAGCTGAGTCCTATTCATTCCTGGCTGGCCTTTTTCTTGGCTACTGTTATTTCTCACCACCTCCTTCTTGGGAAATATTTTTTTATTCTCATTATGTTGCCCTCTCTTACACTGGGTTCTCCAGGAAGCAGATGCTGTGTTGGAGCTAAGAGTGCAAAATGTCTGTTGGGATAACACCTGTGAAAGGAAAAGGGAGAAAGCAGGGGGAGCCCACACACTGCACTGCCGACCTGACAAAGTCAGCCAACAGGGAGCTCTGGAGTGGAGCTTGCCCACGAGAGGAGTCCCATACTAGGTGGAAATGGCTAGGCCTAGTCTCTCCACCTTGCTTACCATGGGTCAGGAATGGCCCGGGAAGAGTGTGACCTTGACTTGAAAGCTGAGGTGGACCCTGATGAAGCTGACAGCTGGAGGTCGTGAGCTGGCTAACAGGCTTCTCACCAGCTGAACAGCAAGTCCTTACTTGAAGGGGTATCTGAGTGGTACTTCTTGGCCATGTAGCCCAGGGATTTGCCTGCCCCTCCCTTATTCTGATTTCTGTTGGCCTGTCAGCACCTGACAGCACATTTTCTTCCACAAGAAGCCACAGGAACAATGACTATGGTATTAAGTTGCCTCTTGCTTATAGTCAGAAGGTGTGCACAGATTGCCGACAGTCAGGAGGGGTCGTTCGTTGTGGAGGGAGAGGTCTCCAGTGCCCAGTAGTGCTTGAGAAGCGCTGGTCTGGAGCGGGGCCACCGTGGGAGGGATGCGAGGTGGCTAAGCTGCGGGGTGCACCTGAGAGGAGAGGCCAACGCTGGACGGGCATGTCCTTTGTCATTTTGTTTGGCCTTGGCCGGGCTGAGGGGCCAGGCTCGTTCCTTAGTCCTCTGATTCTAGGTGACGTAAGCAAGTATTGCCTCCACTTTTCTAGAATTATTGGGGACTCTTAAGCTCATAGCTGAGAGCTGGAATGGGGCAGTTGGCCACTTCCACCCACACCCTGAGAAACTGCCTCACCCCTCCCAAATACTCACCTGCTTTCTGGGCCTGCCTGGAAATACCTCTTGTTTGCCCTAAGGCTCTTTTCTTATGGGTGTGGGACATATTCTGGGTGTTCACATTCCACTAAAGTGGAATCCCTGATGATGTTAATGTGGGGAGAGTCCTCTTTTGGCTGTTAGAAGTTGTAGCCCTTTTCCTTTATCCAGACCTGGTCCTAATGAACAAGGTTAGGATGGGGCTTTGCCACAGTGAATCCCAAGGTCATTGCCTGGCTTT